GCCTTGGTGTTCCCCCGGATAAGCTGGAGGAGGTGGCTGGGGAGAGGGAGGTCTGGGCTTCTCTGCTTAGGCTGCTACCCCCGCGACCCGGCCCCGGATAAAGCGGAAAAAGATGGATGGATGGATAAACAATACACTGTAAATTAAGTCCATGTACACTGTATCCAATATTTTAAAAATTTCAAACCTCTGCACTGAACAGATGTTGTGGGCTTTTTAAGACAAGTTATTGTGCAGTGACATTAGTTTGAGTGCAGCCTCCAAATCACTGAGTGATCTGAAACTGAATTTGAGGATTTGGGATTAGGAATTGAAAGTAATGGCTCAGAGGATGTTTTGACAACCTTGGACTGAATGCATAACAATCAGCTTGTTACTAATTACTTTGATCATTTAATCATTAAACCACTTTCATGTTTTAGATAAGTTAACTGATAACTTAGACAATTGTGTGCATGTTTCAGGGTGCTAGTCTTGCATAACTTGACAGCGGAAGATGAACTATGAGCTAAAAAGGAGAAAACTTTGCTTTTCTTTGTCTGAATGTGACGCACTTTTGTTTAGTGTTTTCATGTTTTTTCCTTTTCAGGGCAACAATTGCTGTCAGCATGGACTGAGTGAAGTGCAATCACGCTGCTGAGTTCTGCCTCACACATGCTACACCACCCTTCACATCTAAGCTCAGAGGCAGAGAATTCTCTTCTGGACAGGAAATGCCAAAATGCATGACAGATTAATGTCTCAATTAGTAATGATGGTGGTCAGATAAAATGTAAAATAACAATAACGTCAGATTTTACTGACACACCAGTCTTTAATAGTTTTGCCTCAGGGTCAGTAATACTTGGTGTTTCGGCACCCATCCCTACTGCAGACCAGTTGTTTGTGACACTGCCCCCTGGTGACAGTAAACTATAATATGTAGACATAGGTCTTCAAACCTGCCTGTAGGACCACTGCAGAAACATTATTTGAGCCATTAGAAGGAAGTGCTATAAAACACGAGGAAAATGCTTGTTTCGGTTGCCTTGGAGTCTACTCAAATAACATCGAGCACCACACAGATGTTTTTCAGGGCCGCTGAACACACATTGAACGTGTCAGACACCCAAAACCTGCCTAGTAAATACTACAGTGTGAAAATGTAATGTAAAGTAATGCAATGTCAATGCCTAATCAGCAAGGATCCTCTAAAGTGAAAAAGTTCAAACCTGCACAATGGTGTCCAGGTTCTGTCTAGAGGTGGACACCGTGCTGGTGTGGGCTGATGGGCTCATGGTGACCACTGTGACGTGATGGTGGGGGTGCTGGGTTAGTGTTGGAGCTGGGACTATCACCGTGGGGTGGTGGGTGGGGGCAGGGGGAGAAGCCAACACCTAGAGGAACACACAAAATATTTATAAAACAGACATCAAAGTGTGTTTTCCATTCCATAAATACATATGCCCACATCACAGCTGAGCTCCATACAATATTGGCCACTTCAGAGGCTGTTGGAGCAATCTACCGCCTCTTCCAGTTCAGAAACAGTAGCACAGGTACACATTAGGTTTTGAGCATGTTTGTTTCTAACCTGTGGACTGTGTGTCTGTCTGTCCACAGCGTGGATCTGGTGTAGCCGTAGCAGGGTCTGGCTCTGGATGAGTGCATGCTCCTCTTCCACCTGCTGGGTGATCACCTTCAGACGCTCTGGGTGCAGCTGAGTGTCCAGAGAGCGCACCTACACAATGCACGCAATTACATCAACCAAAGATAGACTGCCAATTTTAAGAGCAAAAGAAAATATATCCCAGCATTCTTGTCAAATAAATAGTCTAATGGGAAACTTCATTTTAACACTGTACACAGTGTTTCCACTGGAAACATAATGACTGTCTGAAAAAGAAAAAAAGTGTCCAAGACACATAACTGCCATGATTTCCTCTGATGTTTACCTTCCACTTAAACAACGTAATTAAAGTCTTGTTTGTCTTCTGCACCTGTCCCACCTCCTTTGTCTCAACCTGCTCTTCAGGTCGATCCAGGATGCGAGCTTATGAGGAACCGGCTCGAGTACCGGAAAATCTGTCAGCCCCTCAAGCTGAAGATTTTCTAATACGATATCATGACCAGTAGTTGAGACTATTTTGTAGCCTGAAGGTGTAAACTAACTTATTTGTATAACTTGGGTAAATCAACAGTCCTATTTTTGTACCTTTTCTTTTGAATCAAACATTCTCTCTTATTTGTAATGACAGCAAGAAAGTGAAATGTGTTTTAAATACACATAATAACACGGAAGGAAAAAGATATTTCTTTTCCAACTTCACTTCCAACCCCCTGCTTTAACCTCACCTGATCCTCCAGCTGCATGCGAGCCGAGCGCTCCTTGTCCAGTTGCTGCCGCAGCTCTAACATCTCCCTCCTCAGCTCTTCAACCTTCTCCTCCTCCAACATGTCTGGAGACCCAATCCCTTCATCCTTCTCCTCTGCTCGCCTCCTTTTAGGCGATGAGCCACTTAACTCCTGTAACGACATGGAAACCACATTCGGTTAAATGTGAAACAACACGATTGGTGTAATTTTCTTCTCCATTTAAAACAACACATGGTGCTTATGCTGACCTGAACAAAGAGGCAGTGTGAACCAACGGGAAGGTAAAAAATGACTTCAGTAAACATACATTTAAATGTGCAAAAAACGAGTTTGGCTACAACTGTAACTCCATGAAGCTAAACAGTAGGGGTGGGGGAAAAAATCGATACTGTGTAGTATCGTGATATTTTGTTTGCTAATAATGTATCGATACAGGGACAGCAGAAATCGATATTTTGTTACAAACAATTTTTTCGTGGACTGGAACATGCTCTGACTTCAGAGCATGTTGATCAGCTCCTTTTTCTGAGCAAGAATCCTGACATTCCTTCACTGTCCAAATGTGTTTAACTGTTTTTTTGGCAGCAATAAACATGTTTTATTTTAATTAAGTTTAAAACTTTTTTATTTAATGTAAAATTATATTTTGTTTTAATTTACTTTCAAATTCTTCAGTTGCTGAAGGGGCTGCATAGTTTTCATAAATTGCATAGTTCAGGATAGCTATAATTGTAGCAGATGGTTGCATTCAGTTAAGTTGGACTAGACTGTAATACAAACCGTTCAGTTGGTCAACAATACGACTGAAATGAGAGAAAGACTGAGTGAGAGACTTTGATATTAGATAAAATGAATATTGATAAAGTTTACCTTTATGTACAGAATTTGAATATCGCTAAATATTTTTAAAAAATTGCAATAATATCGTATCGTGCGTTAAGTATTGTGATAATATCGTATCGTGAGTTGTATGGTGATTCCCACCTCTACTAAACAGGAAGTTACAATTTGTCTGTAATGACAAACGTGTAAGATGAAAAACTTAACTGACTATAAGTAAGAATCACAGACCAACTCGGTATTGGTGTAATCTGCTGCTCACAATAATTGAAGTGATTCTGCAACACTCAAAAAGCTGAATTTCTGTGTTGTCAGTGTGCATCTGTATTTTTAAAATTAAATGTTTTGGTTTTATTTATTAGCTCTCAGGTTAGCTTCCTCTCACTGAGCGTTTTCAAGTAGGTTAACTTTTTCCACCCGCTTTATTTGCCAATCTTCACTTCAGGAGTCATCAAATAGTGACTCGAGTAACTGAAATTGGTGGAGGGACTCAATTAAGACTGCCTCCCATCTCTATATCTAACACTATATCTAATACACTGTCTGCTTACACTACTGTCTAATACCTTTGAAGAAAATGACCAGTCTGTGTTGTGCAATCAATGATGGTCAAAGTGATGGACAATAGCTCTCCAGTCAAAGCAACATTTAGCTCATTTCCCCTTTCATGCATTAAATTAATATCTCTAATCAGAATCCAAATGACCTGATTCTGCCTCACTATAGTTTAATGTTGCATCTCTACACAATCACGTTTGCAACCGACGCGACTGGATGTGCACGAGCAACTACAACCAAACTGGTTGTGTGAGTTAAATCCACTGATCCATCAAACAATGGGAAGAGATTTCCGACCACTGGGCTAATCTTTAAATTACAACATAATGTGACTGCACTTGCAGAGACACTCGTTTTTCCCTTAACGTAGCTGTTTTTGATGGGTGAAAAATTTGACTGTGTGTGGAGGGTACAATAAAATATTGAACCATCAAATATTGAGATTTAACATAGCTGTCAGCCTACTTCCATTAACAAGTTAAAGCAAAGCTAGATCATTCATTTGCTGTATGTCAATATTGTAAAGATTCCCAGTGTGTGTGTGTGTGTGTGAGACTGCCAGTGCTACCCCTCAGCCTCGTAATAATTACACCTATAGTATCGTTTTCAAAATTCTACATTTCCTTGTTCTCAAGTTATGGCATTCACCAGACTTATGTGTCCATGCTGCCCGGCAGGAGGACAATTTCCCATCAGCCTTTTACGTCTGAGGGGTAAAAACGGTATCTGCTCTCGTGAACACACAATTTTGCCATTGTTGAATAAACAACTATTATTTTAATCAGGCCAATATGGATTTATGGTCACACAGAGCTCACACACTATCAGAGCTCCTCCTTAACAGAAAAACAATGCATGTTTTTGACTGAAGGTATACTGAAGAAAAAAAAAGTCTTATATATTCTCTAAATTCTGTTGTACATGTCAGTGATCTGGAGCAATTCTACATTCAACAGCATGCTACATTCAAGTCTCCTCCTGGGGAGGAACCTGAGCTGAAGACAAAACCATAAGGATTGTTTTGGCCCTAAAACAAACCATTAGTACTCATGTAAGATAATATATATTCTGTATAACAGATCAGTATCTCATCTGTGTGACACTGACATTAATTCAACCCGATTTTATACTTAAGAACATTTTATGCAAAAAAAGAAAAAAAAAGAAAAACAGGGAGACATGCTGTTACCTGGATGAAGCGCTTGAGCTGATTGTTCTGTGCCAGAAGCTGCGTCTTTTCCTGCTCCAAGGTGAAGATATAGTCTGCTGTCTGCTGCAGGATGGCCGCCTGAAAGTGGGGAAAAAAAAACAAAAGCTGAACTCTAGAGCAGATGTGACATTAGTGCAAGTGCAAAAACAGGCACAAATTAACTTTATTCCCTTCTTTGCGCATTTGTGCTGAGTCACTTTGCAATCTTGCTGTGCCAACATTTGGTTAATTGAACAACACTGTGCATGCGCACGTGTGTGTCAATGTGTGCACGTTTGGAGCACCTTGCTGAGTTTCTCCCCGTCGGTGTGCGGCAGGAGTGTTTTCAGGGACTGGAATCCTGCGTTGATGCTCTGCATACGCCGGCGCTCGTTGCTATTAGCGATTTCCCTGCGAATTCGCCTCTCTTGGTCCTGAGCAGTCTCTGGACTGAGGGGGATGTTGGCCAGGCTGAAGGAGAGAGGTGAAATGAAGAAGATGATCATGACTGTGTCGTGAAGTCACCAAGAAAGCGTAAGTTCCCCTTTCAAACATAATTAAAGTTAGCATTAGATTTGAGCAAATCTGTATTCTGGGTTAAAATGACACACTGGGACAATAAAGTCTGTAACTAGCTGCAATCTGAAACCTTTTACCTGGAACTTTACAGGGCATTTGTCTCAAGGAAAACTCTTCGAGTTTCCCTGCGATGAACTCGTTGCCCCTTAAAGCACTTGTAGAGCATGAGTATGAATATCATGGTAACAAAACCTTCTGACATATTTACTCAGAGGGAAAAATAAGTGAACCATTCAAGCCAGACTTCCGCAGCAAACCTGAAGAACCAGATTTGTGATGTTTTACTAGGCCTAAAGGTCAGACCGAACACACGGCTCAACATAGTTGTAAACATGTCTGTCCTACAAAAAATGAAAGAGTAGGCAGGCATGTGCCAATCAAATTGTAAAGCTTGCAACTTAACAACATTTAGTGAACATTAACTGTGATATTAACATATAATCAGTAATCTTTCTCTATTACTTAGATTTATACATATTTAAAATATTGTATTAGATCCTGAGGGTCTAGTTCTAGAGTGAAATATGCAAATTATGCATTATTTACTTTCCCTTTTATAAATTTAGACAGGAGGAAGACATCTTTGGTAAGGTAAATACCCTAAAACATTATTATTATTTTTTTTAGATAAAAACTGTCTTTTTGCCTGCCATATCTTTCCTTGGTGTTAGGAAAAACTATTCGCGGAAATTCTGTACCATATCTAGACCAATGTTTAAGCACACAAAGGTTTTTCTTTGGCTACAAAAAAGTGAACGATTGACTAAAGAATAACAGATTAACAACCAAAACTGTGAATATCAAAGGCAAAAAATAATTATCTAAACAAAAAGATCATATTAACGTTTGACACAAATTATAGGGGTGTTTACGTCGACTCGGGAAGAAACACCGCATTTCTCCTACAGACTTGAACGCGCCGGGGTTTGTAGCTCAGACATAAAACCAGCTGTTGTCTGCTGACGCTGCCGGGAGCTGCGGGCCTGCGGCACGGCCGCCGGGGGGCGCGTCTGCACGGTAGCAGCCGTGAAACGTGACTCCACTCCGCCACAAGCCGCAGGCCCCCCTGGCGTCATAGAGAACAATGCTTTCCCCATTTAGCATGAAGCTAGAACTTAAGTTATCGATCCAACATTAACCGATAAACACTCATAACTGTCGCACCACACAACAAACGACGTATTTCGGCTAAACGACTCGGGAAATACGAGTTATGAGACGCCTGTGTGTATTTCATACGGCTGGAAGGAGTGCGCAGTGAGAGCTAACTAGTTAGCCACGCTAAGCTAATTTTAGCACAAGACGCAACGACGACTACGCCGCGGATCAGTATTTAAACACGCATTTTTTATCCCCGAACACGGTTTTACACCACATACTTCATCATAGCTACACATAGATGAGACACACTAGCGATTTAGTTAATATGGCCAGTTTTTTGGGCAACGGTGACGTTACAAACGTGATTTGTTGTGTAGCAGCAAAGCGGCGGGTTAACTACCACGTGCTCTGGACGGCAATGTATCGATTTCACCTCACTGATTTACATATTCCTGAGCCAGGCGGTTACAAACATGCTTTATTATAAGTTATTACAAACAATTCAGCCAGCGTATTTAAAAACAAGGGGGTGAAATGTTACATATATCCTCGTCTCTAACAACATCAACTGGCACAAGCACTGGCTGCTAATTTCCACAACCACGCTCCTGCTGCCAAGAAATGGCAGCGAAGCTAACAGCATGCTACATGAAGGCTGACTGCAGCGCACACACATACACGCGCTACACGAAAGGTTATTTATTCACGCAGTTCGGTAACAACACCGATGGTTAGCATTTTTGCGCACCTGCAGAGACCTCCAATAACATCCTTCTCCGATTTCTTGAACTGTTGTAAGGACTGTATCTTCTCTGTCGGCATCATGAAATATTCCATGCTTTCAAAGCCACCTTCAGTCCGTGTTTGCTGTTTTCTTCTCCCTCCCCTGCGCTCCTTATTAAAATAAATAGATGTTCGGTTGGTTTTTGTTTCTCCCTCGTAGAACTCCCACTGTACCTGCCAATAGCTTACATCTAAAAAGCCGCTTTCAATTCGGTTTGACTGAAGAAAAGCGTTAGAAAAATAACAATTCAAGCTGTGTTGCTTTCCCCAGCTGATGGGGCTACCTCCAGTGTGTGTGTGTGTGTGTGGCTTCTTGCCTCCGCCTACTACGAGCGTGTGTGTGTGTGTGTGCAGCTGATCTATGTGAGGCGGGAAACAGCTGGTTGGAATCAGAGCTCGTTTTCCGGAAAGCAGAACAAACAGACCAGCAAGAATCTGACTGCAGTGCTGCAAATCTACGAGCAGTAAGCAAAATACCGACTATATAATTTGAACTACGCCGAACTATAACCTGGGAATCAGCAGGGTTAAAGGTAAATTTAAACTGCAGCGGTTTGCGTCTTGTTTTTCCAAGTGCAACGACTGACTGTCCAGTGTTGGTACTGCCAATAGCCGTATCACATAAAAATCCAATACTGATATCTTGATTGTGATAAAAGTTGAAGTAATATTGTAAATAAATGGCATTACCAAGCTTATGGACAAACCGTCCTACAGTTCATTTCATTTTTTGTCATAGTTAACAAAGGACCAACATGAAAATGTGTTGGACAAAAAAAGTCAGTCACCATCGTAAAATTTAACAAAAGAAAAACCCAAAGCAACACAAGTTTAAAAAAAACAAACAAAAAACTACTGGAGACAGAAATAAAACAAAGAAGTAATACAGAGATGAACACTCCTACATATGCACATGTGGTGTTGAGGTGTGCAGCATTAATAAGTAAATACGCATGCATCATGCAGATTGTTGTGTTTCAGCTACCAAACACTGTACAAACTGTTTTTGGAGGATTTGGGGGGTGAAATCACAATAACGGTTTGTTACTTTCATTTTAAAGGTGACAACTCTTTTTTTTTAAATGTACTCATATATGTGTGTTACCGCTTAACTGTTTGAACTTTATTTAAGGATTACAATTTAAATGACCATAATGACCATCACAATACTAAATCCAGAGAAATTCTCACGTGTAGCTCAATTACAGACTTATTACACAAACAGAGGTGCCGCACAAGAGTATAACATAATTTTGTGTTTCATGATCATTTCACAAAGTGGAAAACATATGATTAGATGTTTTTACTTAAGTAATAACATTTACTACTTAAGTAGTTTATTTGTGCAGTGGTATTGTGTAGTAATTGTGTAGTTTTTGTCTACAAGGGCATCCAAAAATCTGCCAAATAAAATATTCAGAATTACCTGCTGTAGAAACTGCTTATGAACAAGGAAACAGTTGAAAGTAGCTTTCAATGTAAAAATGTTCATTATGAAAAGTGTCCATCTAATCATATTATATTACATTCATTGCTGCTGTTCAGGATACTTATAACCTTTCCTTTCACCTGCACCCTTTAAGGATCACTTCAGAGGATCATCTGTCCCCATAATGCAATTTGTCTGTGAAATAATACGTAACCAAAGTTTTAAAATCAATATTATCTACTAAAAATGTTTGCAGCAGAGTAGGAAGCTTAGCAGCAGAAAAAACTCTTAATTTCTTCAGTCCCATTGCCACAAGTGTATAAAATCAAGCACCTTCTGTCTGCCTTTACAAATATTTGTGAAACAATGGGTGGTTCTAGAGCACTCAGTGCATTCAAGTTTACTACAGTAACTGTTGTAACAAGCCAGTGTGTAACATTTCTTCCTTCCTATATATTCCACAGTGAGCTGTATGTGGTATTAATGCAAAGTGGAAGTGTTGAGGAACCACAGCAACTTAGCCATGAAGTGGTAGATCACGTAACCTTAAAGAACAGAGTCACTGAATGTTGGGGTGCATAGTGCATTAAAATTACCAACACTCTGCTAACTTAATAATACCAAACTTTCAAACTGCCTCTGGCATTAACTTCAGCACAAAAACTGTATGCCAGGAGCTTCATGGCATGACTGAGCAGCTCATATGTGCATATATATATATATATATATATATTTCCCTTTGCATCTGTTTTTAAAAAAATATTTTAAATGGCTCCCAAATAGGAAGTATTTTCACTTAACAGCTAAGAAATACATTTTTCAATTTGTCACCTTGAATACAAAGGACACAAAGTGAAAAGTAAAAGGAAACATTACAGCTTAATAAAATCCTTATATGCAGACTGATAATAATTTATGATAAAAGGAAGCTCCTCAGCATAAAAAACTCCGGTTTACGACAGCAGGTGGCAGTATTAAGCTGGAAAGTCACCCAACCAGAAAATCTGGTTCTTTGTTTTCTTTACATGAAAAGTGGAAAATAACCATTCATCCATTCTCATCAGCTGGTGCCTATCACAGCTGTTATAGGGTAAGAGGCGGACTGGACGGGTTGCCAGTCTATCGCAGAGCTAACACATAGAGAAAGACAACCATCCACACTCACACCTAAGGGAAATTTATTACCATCAATTAACCTAACGCCACTAATTATGTCTTTGGATTGTGGGAGGAAGCCAGAGTACCTGGAGAGAACCCACACACAGACGGGGAGAACATGCAAACGCCACACAGAAAGGCACCGGCCAGATGGTGGAGACTTCCTGCTGTGAGGTAACACTGCTAACCACCACAACACAGTCAACATAATAAATTCCTAATAGCTTCACTGCTGCTGTAATGAAACCATAGTATGTCATCTAGAACAGCGCGATATCAGCAGGCCTTTTCACAAGCCTTGAAGCTTAACCGGTCACATGTGCCTCTGGACAGTTTTTTTGTTTTTGTAAGTTATAGTATTTAAACCAACACACATGCTTTATTGTTCTCAGGTTTTTATTTTCCCCATGTAGCACATGTTAAAGAGATAGTAAAACGACATTATACACTGATGAAATATTTGGTCTTAAAAAAAAAACAAACAAACAAAAAAAGTGATGAGCTCTCCTTATTACCACAAATCTTTAAGTAACTAATATACAGAGAAAGTGTTTCAAAAATGATCCAATTTACTATATTCACCTTTAAATAACATATTTATATTTATGTACACATTTTTTTGAAATAATAAAAAAATGATAGTATTCTTCATATAAGAAATGCACCATAGTCTATATTGAGATATATTAGTGTATCTAATGAATCATCATTTGTAGGAAAATGTATTCACTAAGGCCACTTACAGTACTATTCTTCAAAAATATCTAACGGCAAACTGTATTGGACACCACACAACAGAGCAAACGAAGGTGCACCTTTGTATGTCGGCACAGTTTTCTAAATTTGGAAATTAAGCGTGTTAAAGAAAAGAATGTTCTTAAGCCATATGTTCACAACATCTTTAACCAGAAAGGAGCCGTTATACTTTTAAAGGCACTTACATTTAGGACCTTGCTAAAATAGGCCTTGTCTTTGGCAGATAGAAACTTTAAACGCTTGAAAATGGAAATCTGGATCAAGACTTAAATAGGGGTCTCCAGAGTTGACCTTTTAAAGCCTGAAAATATAAACCTAACTGGAGGGATGATTATCCTTTACTTGTAGCATGATTGGCAAATGCCCTCTTGAGAGAACAGAATAACAGAACATTTTATTTTGTAACTTTGACAAAGTGTAAGCATCACTGAGTTGACGGGATCCCTGCCATCTGTACTGATGGTCTGATCCTCTTGGCAGCATTTTCCTCCACGGAGAAAGTGTAGTTATACTGGGGGAAAAAATAATCAAAAAACAATGTGGCAATATTCTCAATTTATATACCCAATAAAAAGTACCAGATGGGAACTTACCTCATTTTCAATGTCTTGGAGAGATTTTATGGGAATATTCAAATCCGAGTTCTAAGACAAAAATAGTCAAAGAGAATTGGGATGACAAAGGAAAGTCAGCGGTATTTGGCATTGGAATCCATCCCTTGAATACTGAAAACTTGAAACATACCGTCTCATTTGCCTGGGTTTCAAATTTTGGGTGGAGGCTGAAAGGAACTCCATCTAGAGCTGCAGAGAATAAGAGTATGTCTAGGTGAGTGTGTCTCTGCGGTGAGAAGTGTAAATGAGAAGCCCTTTGTGTGACGAGAGACCCATGGTACCTGTAATTCCATGGATGCTTCCATCAGCAGGTTTGTCTAACTCATCCTTTGTTTGAAGAGTGTGGCGTCTGTGACTAAGTCTGCTGGGTGGTAATTGAGGAGGAGGAGGGTTGCTGCAGAAATAAATAAGATAAACAAATAAGATGTCGACCACAAGAGCAAAACGCCTCCAAGATAATACACTTTGCTGTAATAATGTCACATCGCTATAATTTTTAACTACATACACTTCTAATAAGAGACATATGTGACATTTTGATTATAACATCTCCATTTTAAATATACATAGGCTTTGTACCTAGGTCTGAGGGGTAGAGGAGGAGACTGCTGCTCTAAGGAAAGTTGGCGGATGTCCAGGCTGACACTGCGGGGCTTGGCTTGAGGCGTGGGTTTAGAAAAGTAACCTTTTCTGTACCACAGCACATAGCCGTGGATGTCTCTGAAGAAAAAGTGCATATAATGACAAATTATATGCAACATAATATTCATAAAAGTTCATGAAAATGCTTTTATAAAACAGGCCCAAGACAAAAGTCCATGTATCTGAATGTACCCCACAAACGTGTAATGCTGCAACATCATTTTGCTTTTGGCTGTCAGCTTGATATCCAACACAGCTGTTTCCACACTGCCCACTGGGACGATGCGTACGCACACACGTTTTTTCTTGGAAACTGTGGCCTCTGGACAAACAATCACATGGTAGGTCAGAAGTGAATGAATATGATGCATTCTGCTAAATAAGTATGAATGTGTGTGTGCTCACTTGGCTCAAGATGTTCGGCTATAAAGCAGTAACCATGAGGAAGTGAGTCCTTATCAGAAATAATCCGGATGTCAGACACTACCATACCACCTGCTGAGTCCTGCATTTATGGAAAATTTAGAAAAATAAATGATGTATTGTGGTTATACAAAGGTAATACGTGTATAAGTTCGCATTTTTTGGTCACCTTGCTATAACAGAGGTAATATCCAGACTTCATCCCAAAGGTGCGTGTAAAATTTGCTGATGCTCCATCTTCTGTGAGGCTGATCTGCAGAAAAAAGGGAGATACAGTGAGACAGCTGTGGCATCACAAA